TTTTTATTTTAGGGAAATCGAAATTTTGAATCGAATATTAGATACCCTGTATAAAGAGCTTTAAGCGCAAAATAAGTGCTTTAAATAAAATATATATACATATGTAAATGATATACATGCAGACATATACATATATACATATTTAATGTCAGTTTCGTACAGGGTATCGCTTAGAGGGCAACTTCTAGTCAAACACAGCCATGAATTAGGGCAAACTTTAAACGTTTTAATAGTTTGCAGCCTATTTTTAGTAACAATCGATGCAAATTTAAATTCAGTTCGCACAAGCTAATAAATTGGTTTAGTCGGGCATGACTGACTGCCGCAATACTGGTTCAGGCTACAAAAACTGCTAAATTTGTAGAAATATTCTTTGTCTTTCGATTATTTTTCTTGATTCTCACTAGGTCTATATATAGAGCTGGGTAATTAGTTAACTTTAAATACATACATGTAAAAGATTTATACCCCAAAATAAATATAATTTTAAAATCTTGATATTTATATAAGATCTGAAATATTTAAGATTTAAGAGCCATAAAAACCCATAAAGAGTTTACTGAATTTTGCATGCAAATGGATTCGTTTTACATTGTAAAATATATGTATGTAGTTTATATGAATTAGACTGCCCATCAACCAATATACTCGTCTCACTTGCTCAAGCGAGTATGAGAGCTATGGACTAGCGATTGATTGCCGTGAATGCACTCACCTGTATCGCATGCGTATGTGCGGAAAGACGCTGGCCTGGAACTGCTCCTCGAGGACGGGCGAATCGAATTTGGGATCCAGCCACGATTTGGCAGCGGCTCGCTCGAAGGCCACCGGCAGCATGACGCTGCAGCAGGAGTGCCGGCGTCCTGTTTGACTTAGATAGGTTTGAATGTGGGGCGCCAGGGCGATTTGTATGTCATCGGTGGAATTGGCCCGGCTATCGTTGACTAGAACGCCCGGCGGCATTGCTGTGAAGCTGACCGACTGTCGACGCGACTGCCAAAGAAAAGCGGAACAAAATGGAAATGGAAATGGAATCAGAGAAGAAATGAATACAGATTAATTAGCGGACTGCTCTTGACTTGGCCAAAATGTCATCTATATGTTTGTGCATGTATGTGTGTGTGTGTGTGCTTGGGCGTGTGAATGGCGCCGCCAAGTATGTGCTATGTGAGATGAGAAAACAAGGACGCATTCGAGGACGTGCCTTTGACATTTGCCATTTGCCATTCGCCATTTGCCTTGTGTGTTGGCAACTGGGTCAGTGGTCGGTTCAGTCGGTGTTTAACCAATTGTCGCATTGCCCGTTCCGTTCCGTTTCGTCTGTCTGTCTCACTCTCACTCTTCGCCCTTCGCTGGCTGTCCGTTTGTCAGCTTAATCTGCGTGCGGACGCGGACGCGGCGCCAGCAGCGCAGCGAGCAACAAGTGCGGCGACATCGCGCATACGCCATGTGAGCGCAGCAAAGTGCAAAAGCATTCTTCAAAGACTTGTTGCCAATTCGCGAATAGATAAAAACAAAACCAGCAACAACAACAGCAACAACAACAACAACAACAATTAAAATAAGGTAACACAAACAAAAGCAAAGCCAACAAATCGCTCAGCGAGTCACGCGACAAGGGCGGATTTTAAATTTGATTTTGATTCTGATTATGATACTGATTTGAAATACGATTTTGTTGTGTTTGTTGTTGTTGTTGTTGTTTTTGTTGCCTATCTTATCGCAGCAGCAGCCCAAAAAGTTAGCAAAAAAATGTGAATGCAACAAATTTGCTCAAGTCTAAACTTAATCAAATTACGTATACGACTCGTTGAAGCAGTCAGCAGAGACAATGAGACAGAGAGAGAAAAAGAGAGAAATAGGGAGAGATTGTCTTTCGAGCACACGTTGAAAAATTCGTCGGGCACTCGCTAACTGAATCATAAAAAAAAGTTGATTCAAGTTTTCGAGGCGCGCTTCATTGGGGGCTGCTAATAAGCTGAGATAAAAATAGCAACTTTGGCAAATAATAATATTTACATTAAAACTTTGACCGCGAATAATTACACACACACACACACACACACACAGAGACAGAGACCGAGACAGAGACAGAGGCAGACGCACTCGCACCCGCACTAAAATACCTACACATATATATATATATACCTATATCTGTATCAATATATATAT